CCCCTCCCAGCTTCTTGCTGGCAGGGCATGAGAAGCTGAAAAGTCCTTGACTAGTGTAAGCACTGCTCAGCAACAACTGAAACATCGGTGTGTTATCCACATTATTCTCATGCTAAATCCAAAACACAGCACTATACCAGCTACTAGGAAGAAAATTAACTCTATCCCTGCCGAAACCAGGGCATCGCTAAAATCCAATTTAAAGAGGGGAGTGCAGTTTTGAACTGACTCTACTTTAGCTGTGAATTTAGAGCCTGTTGATAAGAACAAAAGTGTAATAACATTTCCAGGGTCAGGACTGCTTACTGTGCTCTGTGTTTTATCTCCTGCTTGTATTTCTATTGTCTGTTCCAGATTTCTTCCCTGTGGGAGAAAACCCATGCTTTCACCTAAAGGGAAAGGGGAAGCCAAGAGTCTTTATCTAATGCAAGAACTTACTTAAAAATAGACTTTGGCTCTTTAGAAAGCCAAAGTCATGTAATTATTTCCTACTAGTAAAATTAATTGTCCTCATTCTAGTTAATATTAATAGAGTAATTGAACACTGCAATGGAATATGTCACAGGTTTAGAATTTATACCACCATTTTCATTGCAGTGCAACACACTGCAGGTTGTGTTGTAAAAGCTCCAGCTGACAGAGTCTCTTGACCTGGAGTACATCTGATAAAGAGGTACATGGGAAACGCTGCCAAGAGCTGGGGCACTGCATCCTTGCCCAGCAGGGTATAAAGCCCCGGCATACACAGTGCAGGTTCTTGTTTTGTTATGTCAGGGAGATCAGTTCAAGGAGCCATTACCCAGCCCAGACTGATGTTTGGTGCAAAGCTACCATAAAGGGCTGAGGTGTGGAAAGCATTGCTCTCCACCAGTTGCATCCTTGCCATCAAAGGAATAAGACAGAGATACTCTCCTTGGTCCTGCTATGCATTCATGATGTGACTCAGTGGTGGTCCTGTTCTCGCACACTGACCTTCTAGCTGTAGGCTGTTTTCCACAGATTGCTGAAATATATTGCAAGTCCTTGTTCCATGTCCTTGGCCACCCTCCTCCTTCAAATAAAGGCTTTCATTTTATTACTTTATTGTGGGTCTCTACTGTATGCATGTATTAACCTTTAGTATATCTGTATTGAAGGTTTAATATTTAATTCCACTGGCATTCCATGACAGGTTCTTCTTAAGTAAAGAGAAATCAAATGTCATCATTTTCCCAGTTTTGAAAATCCACCGAAGGCTGTTTGTTCTGTTGGGGGTAATTTTTGTGGTGTATTCATGGTTACTGAGGAGTACACCTCAGCATGTTTGTCCATAATTACACAGCAATGTCAAGAATCCGGTGCACGTTCCCAGCTCCTTTTTCCAATATGCTTTAGTTTTGATTAATTCAAGAGTAGCTTTCATTTGAAAAAATAGGAAATATGCTCAAAGAGGACCAACTGCAGTAATTCTATTAACTTCAAGATTGATTCAGCTTTTACTGAAATTGGGTTTGATAACAACTAGTTTCTTTGTTTTAAAAGTCAGTGCCAAAAATCAAGAAATTCTTCAAATATTTTGCTTTGTGAGGTTGTTGCACAGATGGCCACAGACACGGGTATGGCATACACCTTCGAACCCAACAAGTGCCAAGGCTTTGAATCAAAATAGATAAGGAAAAAAAAAATCTTGAAAGAGGTAAACTACAGGCTGTGTTCAGGTTATTTTTTTGTAATAAGCAGTGTTATTTTTACCCCTGGGGTACTATCAGAGCCTTTTGGGCAACTGCTTCCTTATTGTTCATCTGTCTTTCTTCATACATATATGAAAGATAGCCTCCTTCTGGAGAATTTGAAAGATGTTACGTCAGAGTTTGTGTTTAATGTTTTCAAAGAAAAGATCAGAGGAGTTTTTCTGTTTAGAGATGATGCACGAAGGCAGAATTCCCAAAATAATAATTTCTATGTGATTTTTCATGTAAAGTTATTTGTGGTGAATTGAAGCAAGGAGAAAGTGACCCTTAGTATCTGTATTTTAAAAATAAACCCTGAGCTCAGCCAGCATGAATGAGGGCTGTGCTGTGAGAGCCAGAGGTGCTGACTTTGTGCAGGGGCATCCAAATGTGTGGCTGTCGTGGTGAATTGAAGCAAGGAGAAAGTGACCCTTAGTATCTGTATTTTAAAAATAAACCCTGAGCTCAGCCAGCATGAATGAGGGCTGTGCTGTGAGAGCCAGAGGTGCTGACTTTGTGCAGGGGCATCCAAATGGCTGTGGCTGTCACTCTGGCCTGTGCTCAGGGCTGGCGTATTCCCCCCTGCAGCTGGTGTAGGCATGATTGTGTCAGCTCAGGCAGGGCAGAAAAACTGGCTGCAGTGAAGATAAATTAATATATGTATTGTAGAGAGATTGGCCCAGTGTGGAATAAATGCAGTGTTTGAGTGATCTGTCACAGTCCCCTCATGCCTGCAGCGTAACACAGGGACTCCTCATTAGCAGAGCAGGAGGTGGAATCTGCAGCTTAAGGAGTGACTGTGTTAATATGGAGAAGATCGAGAAGACCACCTAGGCTAAGCAATCTGAAACACTCTGTCTGCATTTGGCAGGCTCACTCATTAAAATGGTCCCATTGTATGTCAAATTCAGAAACGATCCCGTAACGCCAAAATTGCTGGATAAATAACATGATGTGGTTGCAGCCTTCAGTATCATGACAAATAATATACTGTCCCATAATGATTTGTTATGTAATAGGTAAAGCTCAGTTGGAGACAGGTTCTCTTGATGTTAGATACTATTCCAGCAAAGAACAGAGGAGGACAGTGCCTGTTGAAAGAACTTGAGTTTTACATTCTGCTTTATAAGCTATCCGTATTACAGGGCTTTTAAGTTATCTGTGCTAATCAAGAATAATTCATATTCAATTTTTTTTAAAATAACCATCATCATATGATAGATTGCATTACTCATTAAGCAGTAGTGATTGTGAAAAGTGAGTCACAATTCTTTTAATCTTGGAGAAAGGGAAATCTTTCTATCAGTTGCTGTTTCTTTCTCAATGTTTTTAATGTAATTTGCTTTTGCGGTAATGTTGGGAATGTAGATGTTATTCTCAGATAAGGTTTTAAGTTTTGTGTTTTGAAATGAAAAATAATAAAAACACGTTCTAGTTTTAGAGGTATGAGAGTATCGTTTAAAAAAATCTTAATTTTAGACTAATTAAATTTCTTTTTTTTCCTCTAAGCTTTGGAACAGCCTGGGAGTTTGTGGGAACAAATACCTGGGAAACTGATGGAACTGTTGATACTGAAATTCAAAGCCAGCTCATACAGAGTAATTAAAGCCTGTGTGTTTCCTACATGAGGGAGGAGAACAAGGATTGTGTGAAAAGTCATACTCGGCATCTTGTAGGTGTACTAGGTTATAATATAGGATGCCTCCCTCAGCATGCAAACAAATTCATCCCGACTGATAGATAAGTGCTTTTCTAACCTGCGTTGGCATTCAAGATGATCCAATTCCACTTTGATGTTTTATCTTTGCTACATCTGTGGCAGAGAAGTCGCGCACATCTGTCCTTTGTCTTCCTATTTTATCACAACTGATTCTTTCATTTTGACCTAAGATTAGCAGTTCAGGAGTTCAGTGCTTCGCTTTAGCTGAATGCTCATGGGTGCTGGTGTGATGAATTAGAAAACACATCTTTGGGGAAATGGCCCATTTGTGGGATAACCGAGTGCTTGTCTCACTGTAGGGGCTGACTGTACAAATAAGGAGCAATGGCAACGCTTTGGACTGCAGGTAAGTAGGAACTCTAGATGAAACTGGGGATGAAGAGCTTCTGAGGGCTGCTACAAACTGCAGAATTAAGCGCGTGGCCAGAGGTGGCAGCGCAGAAGAGGAAGAGCTCTCCTGGAAGGGAACAAAGGCTTGCCAAGGGTGATTCTTAAAGGACAGATTAGGAAAGGGCCATCAGACAAGAACTGTATGACTATTTAGGAATATTTATGCTTTGAAAGAGCTGAAGAATCGGGTAATGCATTGGACAAGCATTGCACTGTCCCATGAGCTTGTATGAAAGAGGCTTTACTTAGAGCTGTGCGGTATTTTAATGTGACTCGAGTATGGCTTGGAAACTTGAACCTACTACCTGCTTTTTATTTTTCCCAGTTTTTAAGTTAGAATTAAACTTTTTGAGGCCTGATACGTGATTGTTGAGTAACAGGGACAGTGATAACCAGTTGAAAAATTTCAGTTGGCCGTAGAAGAGATGTCTGGGGTATGTATCGTATCGAAAGGTCTGGGCAAATATTTTCTGTTTCTCCAGCATCTGAACCTCCATGCACAGGACCTGGGTTGTAAGGCCAGAACTTGCCTTTGGAAGTGTTTCGAGGATCTCACAAAGTTATTGCTGCTCATGCTTAAAGTTTTGAGCCTTATTCAGTGTGTATTCTCACAGCGTGTGATTCCTTCTTGTCCCTTTCTCCTTCCAAAATCTGTGAAAATGCTTCTATTGGTGTACAAACTGCTTGTTGCTACAGTTTTCAGGGATAAATAGGATTTCTGCTTAGAGGGCTTTTTGGCAGTTTTTACTGTCTCTTAACTCAGTTTGAAGGAGAAGGTCTCACTAAGACTGCCTGACTCTTGCTTTGTTTGGTACTGATGAATTCAGAGAAAGGAGAGATGAGCAGTTCAGGTGGAAGTAAGCTCCCTCTTGATTTCTTTGTGTGATCTTCCACACCTGAAGATCTTAGCTCAGTGTGGCCTGAGGCCAATAACTTGATTTTCTTCCTCAGTTCTATCAAGTGATGTCAGCCATGACTGCTATTTCTACAGCGAGACTGGAGGAAATAGTAGGCATTAGAAGAAAGAATGAAGGAAAAAATCCAAAGAAATTGCTGAGTAGCTCGTTTGGATTTTGTAGTGCCTCCTTGCATTTTACATTTGTACTCTCTCAAGAAACACACGTAGATCTGGAAATACATGTCTTTATGTATTTTGTGGAGATGTTCTAGCTGGTACTTTGGATGCCTCAGTTGCCTTACTTGGACACTAGTCATGTCTGATGTTCTTACTAAGATGTAGTATGGTCTGTAGTTTTTTACCCAGTGATGGTAGAACATGGTGTTCTTGTGCCTTACCAAACAATCAGCATGCAGTCTCCAGCGGTTTTTTGTTGAAAATTTTTTTGTTTGTAGAGTTAGCATTCAGTAGCAGAATACTGATTGTTCCCAAGTGTCAGGACGAGGTTTATGTTACCTCACCGTGCCCTGGAAGTAATAAAGGAATGTTAATTTATTTAATAATACAGCCATGGGGTTAGTGCCAGACAGAGCCTACAAAGGTCTTCAGCTTTTGTCTCTGCTGCATTTTACACTGGTAACTTAATGCAGCACTTTATTTTATCACCTGATGAGATGCATCCAGGGGTCCTGAGGGAACTGGCGGATGAAGTTGCTAAGCCACTATCCATCATATTTGAGAAGTCATGGCAGTCCAGTGAAGTTCCGACTGACTGGAAAAGGGAAAACATAACCCCCATTTTTAAAAAGGGAAAAAAGGAAGACCCGGGGAACTACAGGCCAGTCAGTCTCACGTCTGTGCCTGGGAAGATCATGGAGCAGATCCTCCTGGAAACTATGCTAAGGCACATGGAAAATAAGGAGGTGGTTGGTGACAGCCAACGTGGCTTCACTAAGGGCAAATTGTGCCTGAAAAATTTGGTGGCCTTCTACGATGGGGTTACAGCGTTGGTGGATAAGGGAGGAGCAACTGACATCATCTACCTGGACTTGTGCAAAGCATTTGACACTGTCCCGGCTGACATCCTTGTCTCTAAATTGGAGAGACATGGATTTGATGGATGGATAAGGAATTGGCTGGATGGTCACACTCAAAGACTTGTGGTCAGCGGCTCGTTGTCCAAGTGGAGACCAGTGAAAAGTGGCATTCGTCAGGGGTCGGTATTGGGACCAACACTGTTTAACATCTTTGTCGACGACACAGACAGTGGGATTGAGTGCACCCTCAGCAAGTTTGCCGATGACACCAAGCTGTGTGGTGCAGTCGACACGCTGGAGGGAAGGGATGCCATCCAGAGGGACCTTGACAGGCTTGAGTGGTGGGCCCGTGTGAACCTCATGAAGTTCAACAAGGCCAAGTGCAAGGTCCTGCACATGGGTCGGAGCAATCCCAAGCATAAATACAGGCTGAGCGGAAAATGGATTGAGAGCAACCCTGAGGAGAAGGACTTGGGGGTGTTGGTTGATGAGAAGCTCAACATGACCCAACAATGTGCGCTCGCAGCGCAGAAGGCCAATCGTATCCTGGGCTGCATCAAAAGAAGCGTGGCCAGCAGGTCGAGGGAGGTGATTCTGCCCCTCTACTCCGCTCTGGTGAGACCCCACCTGGAGTACTACATTCAGCTCTGGGGCCCCCAACATAAGAAGGACATGGACCTGTTGGAGCATGCATGAGGGCTGGAGCACCTCTTCTATGAAGACAGGCTGAGAGAGTTGAGGTTGTTCAGCCTGGAGAAGAGAAGGCTCTGGGGAGACCTTATAGCAGCCTTCCAGTACCTGAAGG